CTAAACATGAACACACATGTTCAGACAAAGAGAGAGCAAGAGAGTAGCCACATACTAGTAACTTTTTCGATAAAACAATAGTGGCATCTTGCGTATGCTGAGATAGTGGTTTAAATGGCTTTTTCAATATTTGCTCAATTTCATCTTGCTGTTCAAGCGCTATGCGGGCAAGTTCACATGTCGGTGGTTGAATTGAATAATAGACAGTAATGTCATCAGTGGGTACCAATTTTGCCTATTTAAGTGCAAGTGAACACAGACAAAAGAACTACAAATGAAACCAAGAACATACTTCTTTTCGTAATCGTTGTACACGATTTGTTATTTCATGGATAAGACCTTCGTCTTTCAACGCCTGATCAGCGGTATGATCAAGGAGAACGACAAACTAAAACAAATCACCATTCATCTAGTTCTGTCAAATCGTTCATAGTCTTATTTACCCCTCCTTCTGCATTAGCTTCAAATCTTGTTTGCTTCACAACTTTATATGTCACACGCAGATCTTCATTCTCAATTGGTACATCATTAATTTTAAATTCTTCAACAGTACCATTTTCATTATTCCGATTTAAGAATCTTTCAATGTCGGAATCACTCATTTCTTGAATTTTTCTCATTAATGCCTGAAATTTAGCTAAACGAAAGGAAAAGAAAACAATCATCTTTTTATTTTACAAGAAAAAGTAGAACATACATCCGGCTTTTTTCCCCAATGTTGGATGATTTGGTTCAGCTTTCATTTCTACACCGTACAATTCACGATCTTTTGTCAATGTTACTTTTCGCACATTTAAACCCTTCAAAGTGATCAAATATCATGAGAAAAACATGTGAAAAGAGAAATACAGACAGACCTCAGCAACAAAATCTTCCAGTGATTTAATACTTTCTAATATTGTATCATCTTTATGAATAACAACTAATTCTGGTAATGGATACTAAACACGAGAACAACAGCAACAATTTTTAAATGGTTTAAACGTAAGAGATGAAATCATAAACGCTTACTTTCATCGGTACGGCTTTCCTTTCTCTAACAACTCGAGCCAAACCAATTACCATTTGGACAGCAGCAACAGCTTTCTCGATTGGTAGATTTATCAATGATTTTCTAAACAAAGAATCAATAACAGTAACTAAATGTGCAAGACAAAACGTACATACTGTGCTTGTGGTATCATTTGAAAATGTACACTTTGTCCTTGTATGTCTGTTGTCAATAATGATGGAGTTAGACGTCTCAATTGTTGATAAAAATATTCGGCCAAAAATGGCGTAAATGGTCCCATTAATTTTGACATTGTCAGTAATATGTAACACAAAACATTTAATGATAATATGCAATCATCGACGTTGGTTTCACCCTAAAAAACAGAATCTTAGACAGGGGTCATTGAGAGTATTTAACTTACTTTAAAACGCTTTTTATTTAATCTCACATACCAGTTTGTTAACATATCAATATATTTAATTAAACGTGGCACGACGGTATACAGGCGGTAAGCTAGAGAGAGAGAGAGAGAGAAAGACAAATACACTGTAACTACAAGAAGAGATACAAAACTTTTCCACCAGACAACAACAGTGATCAAGTTGACGAGAGTAATAATTGCTGAGAAAACCAAAGCACTTTCAATGTGAAACTTTCAAACATCCTTTTTAACTTCCATCTTCTGTTTTAAAGTGTTCACTGTAGTCTCTGTGGGTTGTTTTAATAATTGTTTTGGGGCATATCTTCGACTAAAAAGTGAGTGAGAATTTTTCTAGCGTCTGTTGTTGTTTAATACATCTATTCATAGTCCGCTAAATTTCTACACTATACACTTCACTTACTTATCAAGAAAAATTGACTTACCATCCATTTCTTTTCTGACAAACTCTAACAATGTTTGTGTATATGACACAATCCACATATCCATCACATTTACTCCTCCTTTTTTGGAATCACCACCATTAGCTGTAGTCAGTTTATCGACCACTGCTTCTTCATTATATTCAAATTTTTTCTTATCTTCAATTTCCAATCTTTGGCACGATTGAATGAGCAGCCGTAATGAATTGTACCATGGTAGAAAAACATCTTTCAATATATCTCGTACACCTTCTTGTTTAAATTTCAATGATTCACCACGAACAACTGGCGATGTGATCAAATACAATCGCACAGCATCCGCACCATACTCATCAAACAATAATGATGGATCAGGATAATTTTTTTTACGTTTTGACATTTTTTCACCATCTCCTGCTAGCACGATACCACTACATATTAGATTTTTAAAGGGTGGCTTGTTGAACAGACCCGTTGATACAACTAATAATGTATAAAACCAACCACGAGTTTGATCAATACCTTCAGCGATAAAATCAGCTGGAAATGTATCTTCAAATTCTTGACGATTTTCAAACGGATAATGTGACTGAGCATAGGGCATTGAACCAGATTCAAACCAACAATCAAAAACCTCCGGAACACGATGAAGAAAACCTTTACCTAACTGAGATGGAATCAATATTTGATCAACACTGAAAACAATAAACAAGATAAGTGTAAACAGATAATTTGAAACATGTTGAAAACACTTACTTTTCTCGATGAATGTCTGTGACTTCAACTCCGGATAATCGTTTTAATTCTTCAATTGAACCAACACAAATAACTTCTTCATAATCGTCACTCACCCACAATGGAATTGGATTACCCCAATAACGATTTCGCGATACGCACCAATCACGTGCATCACGTAACCAATTAGCAAAACGTTTTTCTCTAACAAAATCCGGCACCCTACAAAATACATACACGTTCCGTGGATAATATCTATCTAAACTCAATAGTTAACAAACTCACCAATATGTTTTTGAGTTGTTTATCAACAGATTTTCAATCATCGTTTCAACACGTATGAACCATGATGGAATCGCTCGATAGATCAGTGGCGTATCACTTCGCCAACAAAACGGGTAGGAATGTTTGATTGTACTGTGATTGAACAAAAGTTTATGATCTTTCAAATATTTAATTATTTGTTTATCGGCATCTTTGACATATTGTCCTTGAAAATCGACAATTTCAGATGTAAATCGACCAACAGGATCAACTGGACAAACAATTGGACCCGTATCTTTGTTGATAATACCATTGGATAAGCAAACTCGATAATCATGTTCACCAAAATAGGGCGATTGACTAACAACGCCTGTACCACTATCTTCAGTGACGTAATCATCGCACAGAATACGAAATGCTGTTGGGATCTAAACAGAAAAGAATAAATTTCATTTTTAGTAGGCTTTTAACCTCCGACAAGACAAAAATCCTATGCTTTTTGGAGACGAGAAAAAGATTAACGATTTTCAAAATTTTCGTCATTTTTCTGCGCAGCAATCGCGCTATAAAAGCCTTGAAGCACTCTTCTCGAATACGTACGTGTTTGAAATACGGGAATATAGGAATATAACGTTTTTCTTTCAACTCTGAACCTTTAAACCTAACAACAGAAATAGCATTTTTTGCAAAAAGCAAGAAAATTCTCCGTTTTTCCACTTACGTTTCAAGAATTGTATAGTCATTGACTTTCTTATATAAGTCTGATAAACGTTTTTCCATTACAATATATGTTTCATTTTTTGCATGATCTAGGGAATAAATAAAAGGTAGAAAGAAAACGCGAGAAAAAGAAAGAAATTGTCTACCTAAAACTTTGGCATAAATTGAATTTGCATTCAGGCACACAGCTAAATTTGATGGTATTGTCCATGGCGTTGTTGTCCAAGCAACTAGCTTTACATCTGGTTGTTCTTCTAATGGAAATAAAAACGCTATTGATGGATCGCTAACATCTTGATAATTTTGTCCGGATTCAAAGTTTGATAATGGTGTACAGCAGCCTGTTGAATAGGGCATTACCTAAGTGAATAGATGCAGACTTTGTAGATAAACAGGTATAGAAAGATAGTTATTTACCTTGAAACCACGATAAACAAGATTTTTTTCATACAGCTGTTTGAATACAAACCAAACAGATTCCATAAACGACGGATACATTGTTTTATAATCATTACGAAAGTCAACCCACCGACCCATACGTTCAACAATGTGCTATTTCAATGAAGAGAAATAATGAGATAGGAACTCTAACGCAAAGTAGCTTACTTACTTCCCATTCTCCGGCATAACGCATAACAATTTGGCGGCAGTGATCGTTGTAAGTTGCTATACCCATTTTCTGTACATCCTCCGGGCCTTTAATACCCAATGTTTTGTCTATTTCATATTCCTAAAAGTATAGACCTATATTGAACTGCAAAAGAAGGACAAATGCGACAAAAGCAACAACTTACAACAGGCAGGCCATGACAATCTAAAAGAAGAAGAGGAGTAGAAACAACTTTAGTGCGTGAAAGAGAAGTAAATAAACATACCCCATCCAAATCTTCTTTCAACATGATGCCCAGTTTGATAGGCCCATCTTGTCACTGTATCTTTAATTGTACCGGCCAAAATATGACCATAATGAGGAAGACCAGTTGCAAATGGGGGGCCGTCATAATTCGTATATCTAACAAATTGAGAAAAAACGTTAAACATCGATATTTTCTATCTTTTCTTAGCAACTAAAATCCTACTTTGGACGATCTTTTGATAATTTATGTGATGTTTGAAATGCGTCTATTTTTCTCCAATAATTCAATATTTCAACTTCATTTTTACCAAAATTCAATCTTTCCGGTAAATTTTGGTCTGTTGCTAAATCCATATGGGAATAAACAACACTAGGTGTTTGGGTATTATCTATAACACCAAGTAAAGAATATGTGCATACACAAATAA